CGGAGATGGGATTCAGAGTTTGCATTTGGTATAAAGTTGGTTCTCTGGTAAACACGCATAAAACTCGTTTCACAAAGCTTGACACAAGGAAATAAACACCTATGACCACTAGATGGCGCTGGGGATCATAGGAAATAAATGAGATAGTAATGAGATACAATGTTATAATTCAGGAGAATGCTGGAGAGAATGAGCGGCATATGAATGTAACTATTGCTATCCCCGTAGTAGTAACGGTTACATTTATATGCTCATTCCGTCCTGTTACCAACATGTAATTATTTTCTATGATCCCTAGCTTCCTCTAGTGGCCACAATGCTGTATATTCCCCATTCACTCCGTTCTTTATACCTAATGAAGAACTATTAAACAGACTCAAATGGCAGAACTATTAATATTATCATATTTTATATTACATTATATATTTTTGGGGGTTTCTTGTCATAAAACATTTGGAAGGAGAAAGTCAATTCCAAGAATTGACTGAATTCAGCGTCTACCAGACAATTAACAATCTACATAAAGATATTTAGATGTAGAGTGTTGTTGGTTTCTTGAGCTTCCACCATAGGGGTCCAGACAGCAGAGTGTGTTCTTCCTGGACCCTGCAGATAAAATGTCTCCTTGCAGGTTGTCACCGGAATGTTAAAGTGTCACCGAGCCTTCTGTGTGGTTTTCAGAATGTCTGAGGATGGCTCATATCTCCTAACTCCCGTCCCGTGCAACACAGAACTATAGAACCTTCAGGAAGAAGGCGTGTGGTGGCACAAAGCTGAGCTGCCTGACACTCAATATGGGGGTTTTATGATACAAGATGGAGGACTTCTGATAATTTGGCCTCTTTGTGGTACTTCCGGTTCTGTTAGCCATAGACTGGCGGAGTTTAGACTCTGCAGAACAATAGCTGGAACCAGAACCATCCCTGTCGGATCCATAATCCGTAACTGGAAACAGATATGAGGGTCCAAAAATGGTCAGTATTAAAATGATACCTGGGACCCAGGTGATGATATGCAGCCTCCAGCCTCCCTCTGATTGGCTGGTCTCAGTGGGCAGTGATGATATGCAGCCTCCAGCCTCCCTCTGATTGGTTGGTCTCAGTGGGCGGTAATAATATGCAGCCTCCAGCCCCTTCCCTCTGATTGGCTGGTTTCAGTGGGCAGTGATAATAGGCAACCTCCAGCCCCTTCCCTCTGATTGGCTGGTCTCAGTGGGCGGTAATAATAGGCAGCCTGCAGCCCCTTCCCTCTGATTGGCTGGTCTCAGTGGGCAGTGATAATAGGCAACCTCCAGCCCCTTCCCTCTGATTGGCTGGTCTCAGTGGGCGGTGATAATAGGCAGCCTCCAGCCCCTTCCCTCTGATTGGCTGGTCTCAGTGGGTGGCAGCTTCATTTGATCTTCAGAGTAAAACAATGGAGATCTGAATCCAAGAAAATGGCACATTTAAGGAGTCCATTGACATGGGGGGGTGTCCACGTTTTCCATCCAACCCACGAAGCCGGATTACTTATCATTTCTGTAAGTTTTATCCCGTTTTATTATAATACTTAATACTTTAATCGCTTGTATGTATGTATGTATGTATGTATGTGTGTATGTATGTGTGTATGTATGTGTGTATGTATGTATGTATGTATGTATGTATGTATATGTATGTATGTGTGTATGTGTGTATGACCAGGCAGAATGAGTTGGGTGAGTCTCCCTCCAGTGGTGACCGGTGGTAATGCAGGAGCCTGCGACGTGGGCTGTTCTGACTCTAGAGGTAATTGCGCCAGGTTTAGCTAACCTGTAACTTCTACCGAGAGCCGTGTGTGTGGTCTGTGAAGTCTGTGTGTGCGCTAAGTGTATGGACTAGGAGTGTGCGGGAAGCCTGTAAGTGGTGGGTGGTGGCAGCTTAGATTAGTTCATTTGTGTTATGTTTTATGGCCCCCATAAACCCTCAACTCCCCCCCCTCCCCCGTTCTGCCATTCGTGGCATGGGCTCGATGTTTTTTGAAGTTGTCCCTTGTAACAATGTTCCTTCCTGTCGCCAGGCCCAAACAGATTACTTGCATTACTCAAAGTTCCTGGTGGGAATACCGTGGATGATTTATGCGTCCGGCCTTGCCCCCCACTTTGCAATGAGTAGCATGCAGGACATGAAGGTAAGTGTCGGCTGTGGGACTCGCTGTTATCTGATTTTGCTTTAAAGAGGACCTGTACTGTGGAAGGTGTGCCAAAGTAGGCAGGCAGAGGGCAAAAGACCCATCACCAGTATTGCCTGCGATCTCCCTACACTGGATGTTTTCCCAGTATACCACGCCTTGTTCTGCACTGTGTCTGTGTGTGGAGGAGGCCATCTTGGTAGAGGAACAGGGCTTTGGGGCCCCCCGATGACTGGTGGGGTAATGGTAGAGGAGGAGGAAGCACAGAACTGATGAAGTGGGAGCAGGGAGATCCTTGCACTGCAGGTCCCCAGGTATAGCTTCCCCTCCAGCACAACATCTGGGCAGGAATAGGGCAAATTCTCCAATGGGGACCCAGCACTAGAAATCTGTTGGTGGCTCTATCCCTTTTCCTATGCTACTAAGAAAAAGAGATTCCGGCGGCCATCTTGGTGATGGACGCCGGCAGAGAGAGGAGGGGACAGTCACCCGGCGGGATAAGGTATGCCGCCGGGTCCCTTCCTCTCTCCTGATACTGTAGGGCGTTCGGTCCACGACCGAGCGCCTGACTTTTCAAAATGGGGGGGGGGACACCAAAATGACTGTGAGTAATTTTGGTGTCACCCCTCCAACGGTGTCACCCGGGTGCGGGCCGCACCCCCCTTGTGACGCCACTGCATCCCATCACAATTTTTGGCTAGAGAAACACTCTACCTCCCGTATGCGACCTGGGCATCAGCCTCTTGCAGTCCTTGTCCGACAGAGCTCAGAGTGGGAGAGGGAGAAGCAGCACAATGAGCATAGTGCTCCAGAGACATACTGAAAGGAGGAGAGAGCAGAGTGAGAGAGATGAGCTCATCAGTCCGTTGCTTCTCCCTTCACTCTTCAATCACTGGCTGGGGGAGGGACAAGCCCTGTAAGTGTGACTTTACTGCAGCAGAGAAAAAAATCAGATCTCCTGTCCTGCTAGACAGAGCGGTGTAAAACTTAGGACTGGACGGACAGAAATACAACCCCTTTGACAGGTATACACAGCCCCCTCCTATGTATTTAGCTCAGCTTTATCCCCAATGGATGACACGTACCAGATCCCCCAGCATGCTGGCTCTGAGCGGTGTTCATGTTGGTGAATGGAGCTCAGCTGTGTATGGGGGTCTGTAGAGCAGGGGTAGCCAAGCACTGGTCCTCCAGCTGTGGGTGAAACTACAAATACCATGATGCATCTCTCTCTCTGGGAGTCATGTCTGTGGCTGTGAGAATGTTGCAATGCCTCATGGGATTTGTAGTTCCACCACAGCTGGAGGGCCAGTGTTTGGCTACCGCTGCTATAGAGTAATAAGTTCCAGAAAGGTGATTTTTTTCCTGTCTCTGAGTTATCATCACAACCACCGATTTCTATTTCCTTCCAGATCAAAGCGCGTTCCCAGCTACGCATTTCGGGTCTTTTCCCGTCTGCGTACTGGTGTGGACAAGCCCTGGTGGACATCGCCCTCTATTGGCTGCTCCTTTTCCTGATGGTCGCCATCTTGTTTTCATTTAACCCTTCCATCCGTCTGCCCTTCAGTGCCGCCATGCTGCTGGTGAGTTCCATCGCTCAGCTTTTCACAGCCATGCGTTTAGCTGAACCTCTAAAGCACCAGCTTGCTGCAGACAAGGACCCTTGCTCTCTATTTTGAAGCAGTGGTCTCTCTGTAGAGGTCCAACCCATCCCCCGCTGAGTCAGAGCCAGAGCTCTCCAATCAGCAGAGAGCAAATTATGTCCCTTGCCAGCATGCTGCAGAGAAGGACTGTTTCTACCTGTATGGAAGCAGTGGTGTCTCTGCAGATGTCCAAAACACCCCGATGTCTCTCTGCAGAGCTGCAACACACCCCGTTGTCTCTCTGCAGAGCTCCAACACACCCCGTTGTCTCTCTGCAGAGCTCCAACACACCCCGTTGTCTCTCTGCAGAGCTCCAACACACCCCAATGTCTCTCTGCAGAGGTACAACACACCCCAATGTCTCTCTGCAGAGGTACAACACACCCCAATGTCTCTCTGCAGAGGTCCAGCACACCCCCTGCTTTTTCCACATTAACCTTATGATTTTATTCGCAGATCGGTGAAATTTTGGGTTACGGCATGGCCATGGTCCTCTATGTTTACTTAATAGCATTTGTATTTGGGAAAAGAAAAATTCACCATGATCGGTGGTCCTTCTGCTTTATTTTGGTAAGTAGGGGGCGGTGTTACTAGAGGGTCACACAAGATTGGGTGGTGGAGCACCGGGTGGAGGTTCCGGATAAATACTGCTATAGTGTTGCAGCTCTCTACTGGCCATTGGAACTCAACTTGGTCCCAAGGAGAGCCAGCTTGTGTGAAAGGATGAGAGCACCAGACCTTCCAATCTTGACATGCATTGGTATCAGGGATTAACTCCCGTGCACCTCTGCTGACGTTATGTCATTCCTGGCCTGGCCAATGAAGACGGGAGTTAATTCTCAATACCAAGGCATGTCAAGACTGTACACTGGGCTGAACATGTGCACGGGAGTTACATCCCAATACCAATACATGCTGAGACTGTACACTGGGCTGAACATGTGCACGGGAGTTACATCCCAATACCAATACATGCGGAGACTGTACACTGGGCTGAACATGTGCACGGGAGTTACATCCCAATACCAAGACTTGCTGAGACTGTACACTGGGCTGAGTATGTGCACAGGGAGTTACATCCCAATACCAAGACATGCTGAGACTGTACACTGGGCTGAGCATGTGCACAGGGGGTTAATTCTCAATACCAAGGCATGCCGAGACTGTACACTGGGCTAAGCATGTGCACTGGGGGTTAATTCTCAATACCAATACATGCGGAGACTGGACACTGGGCTGAACATGTGCACGGGAGTTACATCCCAATACCAAGACATGCTGAGAATGTACACTGGGCTGAGCATGTGCACAGGGGGTTAATTCTCAATACCAAGACATGCCGAGACTGTACACTGGGCTGAGCATGTGCACAGGGGGTTAATTCTCAATACCAAGGTATGCCAAGACTGTACACTGGGCTGAGCACGTGCACAGGGGGTTAATTCTCAATACCAATACATGCTGAGACTGTACACTGGGCTGAGCATGTGCACAGGGGCTTAATTCTCAATACCAATACATGCAGAGACTGTACACTGGGCTGAGCATGTGCACAGGGGGTTAATTCTCAATACCAAGGCATGCCAAGACTGTACACTGGGCTGAGCATGTGCACAGGGGGTTAATTCTCAATACCAATATATGCAGAGATTGTACACTGGGCTGAGCATGTGCACGGGAGTTACATCCCAATACCAAGGCATGCGGAGACTGTACACTGGGCTGAGCATGTGCACAGGGGGTTAATTCTCAATACCAAGACATGCCGAGACTGTACACTGGGCTGAGCATGTGCACGGGAGTTACATCCCAATACCAAGACATGCCGAGACTCTACACTGGGCTGAGCATGTGCACAGGAGGTAATTCTCAATACCAAGGCATGCTGAGACTGTACACTGGGCTGAGCATGTGCACGGGAGGTAATTCTCAATACCAAGGCATGCTGAGACTGTACACTGGGCTGAGCATGTGCACGGGAGGTAATTCTCAATACCAAGGCATGCTGAGACTGTGCACTGGGCTGAGCATGTGCATGAAAACAAAAATAGCTACTGTGTTGCGCTAGGCTTCAAATATCCTTACGTGAAAAAAATATATACAAATGTATCCAACTGTTGTGAGTTGCGTGTTCTTACGTACATACTGAATATTTTATACTTCAGCCAAAACCTAGACCGTGTAATCATAAATCAGACAAATCCTTTTGTTATATCCATAATAACATTGATAATTGTCCAAATAAATCTGTGATTTCAATTGTGTGTTTCCACAGAGTGATCAAACTTCCCACACATGAGATTAGTGAACAACGAAAGGGGTAGTCACTAGGGAAGGATGCACCGATACTTTTACCAGTGCCGATACTCGGCATTTTTTATGGGAACTCCCAGGGTGGCAGCGATTGCAGCTGGGACCGGGCCCCGGCGCTCCACCACTGTGCTGAAATCATTACTCTGTATTGTTTTAGAAAAACTGTGAGGACTTGGATCAGTATCAGTACTTGTATATGTGACAGCTGCGGCGTCTCAGTATACCGCGAGCTGTAGCTCCCTATATACAGAGCCTAGGGTGATGGTAGGACGATAGTTTGTGTCCTCCCGTTACCCTAAGGAGAACTATGGGGGAAAAGCCCTGACCCCATAGTTCTCCTTTAAGGCTGTCTTCACACCTGGGCGATATCCAGCGCCGATCAAATCGCTGAAAAACGCTCAAGCAGTGAAATCCTATGAATCCCTATGGGCACGGTTCCCACCTGGGCGTATTTCAGCGCGATTTGTGGCGCTGAAATTTGTTCGTTCACCTCCCGATCTACTGAGCTGACCTGTGACAGTCTCATTGTCACAGGTCGGCTAGAACTATGAGGTGAGTGAAAAGCACTCACCTCATAGTTCTCCTTTAACAAAGCGGTAACCCCTCGAGCCACACTCGGGAATACAGCGTAGGTCTTACCTTGTCCGCGATCCCCGCTGTGTCCTCCGGGCCGCTGCCGTCTTCCCGGGTTCCGTCCCTTGCTAGCGTCTGCGTCGCAAGGGGGCGGAACCGGAGGGAAGTTTAAAAAGTAAAAAAAAAAACACACGGAAAAAACGTAGGGAATAAAAGGAAAAAAATGTAATAAATCATACCGCCAGGGAGGTTAAAAAAACAAGCGTCGAACGCGCGTTTCATTGAACAAAAAAACGCGCTTAAAAACGAGCATAAAACACGCCTATTTGGAACGCCCAGGTGTGAGCCCAGCCTCAATCATCTGAGATTAGTGTGCTCTATGCCCAAGGGTTTTATTTGAGTTTATTTACTGTTTTGTCGTATTAGTTACAACGCAGCTTTCATTTAACAAAACGTTGTTGATTTCGGTTTTTAGTTGTTTACTAATTTGCACTTTGATGTACAATTCAGCGTACTTTGTATCTTATATCTTTTT